GTAGCAGGAATGGCATTCGAACACCTTGACTGCCCTGGTGTAAGAAAGGTGAAAGAGTAATGCCACATATTTTAGTAGTTCCTTGTTAAGAAAACTCCTTCTTAAAAAAAAAAAATACACTCTCAGACCAAAATAAAGCTTTTAACGTGGCTCTTACCTGGGGCTTTTCCATGTGCCGGGTTATATATACTCTCGAAGTGTGGTGGCTCCTCTCAGCAGGGATGTAGACCCTCAGCGCTGGAACACAAGCCTAAAGTTAGTTCTGATCTGGAGAACACAACGCTCTGGAGTTAGTTCTGATCTGCGCTGGCTACACGTGAGGCAGTGTTTATTTTTTGTTGTTTTTAACAAACACAGCTGGCTGGCTGGAAAATTCTTAACACAGGACTTTTTATAATTTCGAATTAAGCACGGCTATTGTAAATTAATGCAGGAGAGTCAAACTTAAGTCATTGTTTAAAAACTAAACAGCCTATTAGAAAAATAACTTCTGAAAATACCCAGGTTTTGAGTAGTGTGATGATTTTGATACTCGGATACGATGAAGAGGATTTGACAGTCCGTATCCTGAACTCTGTGTTTGGTTTTTCAAAAAAAACTCCTAAGAATAGATGCCTGATGAAGAGCTAGGAAAATCTTTTCAGTATTATGACTATTTTTACTATTACCATTAAACTCTTAAAAGGGTTAAATTTCCATTTACTGCTTGCAACCCTTTCCCTAAAACTCAGCCATAAATAGCCCAAGAAATATTTATTGTGTCCTCCAGTGAAACTTAAATACCTTTCCTCTTTCACAATTTCTGAATGACCCAGCAAGGGCTCTAGCAAAGCTTTACTGAACCAAGCCGCTAATAGTTATTTAATGTTGTTCTGTAGCCTGAAAGAATCTCAGCAGATTTTTCCTTTGAATCTCTTTGAATTGCAGGCTCATAAACCTCTCTGATGAGCCTGCCAGTGTTTTCTTAGATCCTGCGCTTGAGACAATGGAGCTGCAGAATCCTTTCACCTCTTGTTGTCAGACAAATCCAATAGGTGCCAAAGCCAGGCAGGCTGTACTTCTTGGGAACTGCAAGTTGTGGCAGACGATCAGGTCCTCACGGTTTTCCCTGTGTGTTCAGGAATGTGTTTCCGAAAGCACAGCGCGGTACACGGGGTTGTACAGCTTGAGCAGGTGCCGTGTAACTCGGTACCGGTCAGGATACCGGTCTTCAACAGCCTTCGCCGCCGGCGCGGGAAGGAAAATCAGTGGTTTCCATCGGAGACCCGCTCATGAGGAGTCATGGCTGTAACAATACTGATGTAGATGAAATAAGGAAGAGCACGAGAACCATGGGAGTCGCTAACACGCTCTGTGGAAACGGTTAGGTTTGTGGTTCTGCCTGTAAGCTCCCCAGACTCGCTGGGCAGCGCCGCTGCCTTTAAGTAAGTGGCAA